GAGGTAATAAAACATGATATTCAGAGGGACCTGACAGCAATAATGAAGGAGCTAGACTTGATGATCAAAAAAATGGGAGGTAGAAAAGGGTTTGGTAGCGATGAAATTGGGGCAATTACAGTTGAATGGGAAAAAATGGAGGCGATTCAGAAATCTGTGGCATCAGTGACCCTTCCTAAAGCAGCAATGAACAGATCGTTGGAAGAGGATATTCTCATCAAGGAGCTGAAATTAACCAGCACTTCTGAAATTTTCCCAAAATTGGATGAGGCTGGTGCATGTAATGGTGGCTTGAACCACCAAGATAAATCAGGGAAAGCTGAGCTTGCAGGCCCAAAACTCTTCAAACCTGGATTGAACACAGAAGAGTGGAAGACGACCGAGAGCTCTCCCACACGAACAGTGACTGTTGGGGAGAGAAATCAGCGCCAGGAAGCTATGAAGGAATTGAAATCCGAGATGCGGTGCTTACCGGGCATAGAGAGGTCAGTAGAACACCTCAAACAGGGCATGAGTATTGGGGCATCAAAGGAATTTAGTCTTGGAGGAGTCATGATGGAACAGGACAGAAAATAGAGGAAAAGGGGATCGCATTCACTTTGCCGGAACCAGCCATTTATTCTGAAACTCCACTGTAGTCTGATGGAATCGGGACAAATGCACCCAACTGGAACCACCATGTGGAAGCAGGGAAGATGGAGATGCAAGGCCTGGACAGATTTGAAATTGTATCAGCACCGACGACTTCAAAGGGGGTGTTGGAGGGGAATTTTACCAATTGTGAAACTACACCCAAGCTGGAGGAAGATGCCGACAGAGCAAATCCGAGATGGGTTTTGGAGGGGAATTTTGACTGTGGACTACAACCGTGGATTGGGGTTGAGGTCAAAATGTGGCAGCAATGTTTGGTCCAAAATATGAATTTAGCCCAAATGATAGAGGTCCAAAAAGAGCCTCTAAAAATGGCTCAACATGATGTTGGCCCATATGAAATTAAAAACAATATTTACAGCCCAAAGGTTATCTCCAACACTTCCAGCCTATCAAAACACTACGAACGCTCTAAAATCTGCTTCGACCGCAAAAGTGGGTCTGACGTGTCTTCGGCTCAAAATCATTACCGATGATAGAGAAGAAAATTTTAACAACGACAATGGTGAAGAGGTTGGCGATAAATTGGGATTTATAATTAATTCGAAGTTTGAAATTGCGCAAAAGATAAAAAAAGGCAAATTGCACAAAAAGAAGAGATCGCGATGCTGATCAATTGTGGTACTATCCATCGTTGTATTCCGATTGGCCGGGTTCATCTTTTGGAAAGCCCGCAAAGGGGAGTGACCAGGTATGGAATTTTTATGGATAATATTTTAAGCATAGGTGGTCAGCGCTGAAACTTTTTAACTGCTTTTGGATTGAAATATCTCATTTCAACATTTGCCTTGGTGGGAATTCTTACCAAAGAAATGTTTATATGCAATTCTGAATTTCGGAGTTCAACCCTACTTCCACCTTGAGGACAATGTGGATTTTGAGGCGGCAGGTAATGATAAGATCCCAATCCGATTCACATGGTTCTGCCACGTCATTTGTCATTCTAGAAGGTTCAATAGTTAGTTTGTTAGAGAGAAAAATCTGTTACAAGGGTCTATAAATAGAATAAGAGTAAGATGAGTGAATTATGTAAAATAATGAGGAGTTGGTTAAGTCCAATTGGGAGAGATCCAGCCTCTCGAATGCTTGGAATTGTTCTTTCAATTTCCTGTTTTCAGTTTCATTTCAATTCAATACAATTGCTCATTTCTGTTTTCTTATTTTGTTCTTGTTGAATTAGCTGAACCTTATCAATTCTGGTAGATGGAACCAATTGTTGGTTGGTCGAATTCCAAAGAAAACCACACAATTAAAAAAAAATGAAATGTCCGAAATTGAGATTTAGAGGATAAATAATCTAAGGCTTTGTTGTTATCAACCTAGGGATTAGATAGAATGCATCCTAAAACAGTATAAAAATATCTTTTGGGAGCTCTGATACTGTTGATGACCATTAAGAACATGTTCATTATACTTGATGAATATGGATTACTATGTGTGGCTATAATATTTCTTGATATTGTGGTTGCTTTTGCCATTCTAATATTTTTGGAAAGTCCTTTTGTTTGAGATGACAATTTTATATTCTATATTGTAGAACTTTACTTTTAGGTCCCTCAAAGAATTTTTGTCATTATAACATAAATGTACGAGGCTACTGACCTAAGTAAAGCATGAAAAGAATCTTCATCTGGCTCTTCTCAGATTAATTTTGATACTAGAGCTTACACTCAGTAGACGACTCTTTAACTTTTGAAGATATCCATGCTCTTTGTATTTGATATTTTAGCGAAAGTTTATTTTCTTGCCTCTCCTATTTATTAGTAATTGTTGGGTATTCCCTCCTAGTGAGGGAGCCCATTATAATGGCAAGTGGGCTTCCTTCCTTGGGCCCAAAAGCCATTTTTAATTGCAAGAGGCAACAAATTGATTAACATATACACATAAAACAGACAGCAGAGAACGAGAGATAGAGGGAAAAGCTAAGGTTTGGTTCCTTCTTGCCAAAGATCGATGGTCCATTTGTGATCCGATTGAAATCATATTTTAGTATGTTCTTCTTGGCAAAGAGGGCTACATTTTGATCGGAGCTGATCATCCAGATTCCTCTTCGTTTGTTTGGGCTTTGCACACTTATCTGTGAGATTTTCCTTATTATAGTGTGCATTTTTCTTTATGATGTTGTTGATATCCAAGGACTA